AAAATCAAAGTAAATATTAGCATTGGAAGCAATAATATACAATAAAAACCTTCCGGAAAATGATGCATCCATCGGATTAACAAGATGCTGGCATAGCAAAATCTATTTCTAAAAAAAAAAAAAAAAAAAAAAAACAACAAATCTCTCATTATCATTCTTTTTCATCTCTTCAAGCACACAGCGACAATTGCACAAATAGATAAATGAAATAATTTTTGATTAGTTTGTTATGATACGTTTTATGGCAAACATATGAATAGTTACTTTTTAACATATTTTTATGATTCAAACGTAATAAACTTGCAAAACCTTCTTTTCCTAATTTGCTAATTATTTGAAAACATCTACACTACCTCAAAATCCATATGTATATTCAATATTCATAAGCTTTTCATACACCATATTAGCAATTTCTTTTACTTGCAAATTTTATTTAAAATTTGGCACTCAAGTTTTCTTTTTCTGTTTTAATTTATGTAATTTAGACAATCAACCCATCCTTTTGGCTTTTTTGAAATGCAATAATAGATTTTACAATACGACAGGCTGGACAAAGTTGCGCAAAATGCGTACTTTCCATTTAGAAAATATTATGGTAAATTCAAAAATAATCAAATATTATTATATATTTTCATTATCGTTATCATGTTTCATATTATTATTAAAATATCGGTAAATAAATTTAAGCTCCATATTACTTACCTGATTTTGTTGTTACTGCATTCGAAACTATAATTTTAACATTAATTTTCAAAGACACGCTCGGCACTATAAAATTTTACCACGTTATTCGCATGACCTCAAAATTACATGAAATTTTTGTGGTGTTTTACATCTATGAATATATTATCACAAAAACTGGTAAATTAATCGGTGTGGGTTTTCTAAGTAAAATTATTCTACGCCCATTAAAAAACCCTTCCCAAACCTTAATTCTAACCCTAAATACTAACCTTAACATGAAAAATTGGGTTAAAATTTTCTATACAAAACTAATAAAACCCCTGAAAAAAATAATAAAAACATATAATAGGTGGGAAACACCATAGGTGCGTTTTATAATAACGGTAAAATTACACAAAATTGCAGTAATTTTACATCCATATTTTGTCATAAAAGTTCTTATTTTTGTTATTCAGAGTATCATTATAATCAACAAACGTTGCTTTTATTTCTTTGCCAGAAATTCCAGAAATTCGTTTCATCAATCTATGACCAACCTGGCGTTTATAATGCATTTGAAGCTTTAGTGTTGAATACAACACGTGTTGCATCTAGAGTAATGAGCTATCTAGAATAGCTACTTCAGATATCTAAAACTAGGATTTAAAATTTAGCCAGTGCCACTTCTGATATCTAAAGTAGCTACTCCTAGATAGGCTGTTCAACACTTGTAAACCAATTAGATGCCTAGGTGTCACAACTCGATAAATAAAAATGCAGGGTTGGGAAAATCATATGATCTGCATTGCATATAAATATTTGCTCATAACGATAAAAAAAAAAACTGCTTTTTTACAAACATGCAAGGTCACGAATCGACGTCAGAGCCTGATCGTTTTCCGCGGGAAGAATTTTCTTTTTTACCACATGTTGTACAACTCCTTGATAAAGTTTCTTCTGGCAAAAATGAAGTTGAAATTAGGAATTTAGTACGTATGTCACAAGTCAAATTAAAAATATATTTCCTATTCAGAACTATAGTTTATTGTAAACCATGTTTCAAACGAAATAATTTTGAAGACAAAAAAGCTTAAAGAAAAGTTTCAACGATGCCACCAAATTTTACAAGAATTACCTGGTGCTGACTTATCGCGGGAAGAACAAGAAGCGCTATTACGAGCTGAAAATGCATTACTTGAACAAAAAAGGTAAACTAGTTTTTGAAGTTAAAAGGTTATAAAAAATTTATGGTTGATATATTTACTGAAATTTAAGGGCTGCGAGACGAAAGTATTCGGAGTTGCCAATTATGCAAATCGAATAACTATATATATATATATTTTTTTATACCCATCGTATCACGGATTTATTGAAAATTATCATAATTATGATACAAAAATGTCATTTTTAGACCTTATCATATTACAATCCATGTATGTGGTAGTCACATTATTAAGCTATTGATTTTTATTTATAATTAAATGTCGAAGCAAAGCCTCTTTTGCTTTCTATCTCTTTTTTGGTTCTTACTCTGTAGAATTTTAATTTCTTTTTTGATTCTGTTCGTTATAATAAATGGTATTAGTGAAGTTGGAATAGAAATTTTCTTGAATAAAACAGCACCATATCTCACATACTGCGTTTATGTGTGACCACATTGCGGCCTCCACAGTTTCCTATTACGTATGTTAGTCGCTGAGAAGATTTCATCCACTTGTATTAGGTGGTATGCTTTAGAAACCTATATTCAATTTGCCAGATTTCTTTGCTTCTTTTATATTGGGTACTAAAATGTTCTATCGTTCGAAGCTCTTCTAAGCATTCAGGGCATTCTCCAGAGTCACTTCGATTTATGTGGCAAATACGGTATCCAAGAGGTAATGCTTGGTGATAGAGGTGCCAAAAGACATCTACCTTTTTATTGACTACCCATTTTAAGTTGATCCATTTTTCTTGTGAGTCTATTAGAAGTGGGCTTGTATTTCTTTGTTTTGCAGTGAGTTGAGCATATTTATCTTTTAAAAATGTGCCCTTTTTTACTGTGTAATCTTTGTCACTGCTGCCTGCCAGGCTTATAAATTTTGGATTTCAGGGCCAAGGGTTAGAGTCATTTATATCCTTCAACTCTTATCCAGGCTGAAAGATAAGCTTTCCATTTATCGGAACTATTACCGACTTTTCTTTATTGCATTAAAAGCTCTTGTAATTATTCAAGAATGAAAGAGTGTATTCCACTCTGAATATGTTGTGATCCCTATTGTAAGGTCGTCTTAATAATTATATTAATGTTGTTGACTGGAATCTAAAGTCCACTTGAGTTCTAGAATTCTCTAATATTCACAATATTATAATACAGTTGGAAGTTTTGGCTTTTCAAAACTAAAATAGTAATATTATATTGTTTGATTTTCTTAATATATTTTTTATTTTATTAAGTTTCGGTTTTTAGTGTCTATATAATTAACAATTTTTTAATTTTGAGAAATTTAGAGCAATAGTTCAAACAAGATTAAATAATCACTAATTTTGAAAGCTACTAAGCAATGGCTTATAACGAAATATTGTATCATCAAACAAAATTGCAGGATAAAAAGCAAGTTTTTAATTAAGTTGAATATTGATTACTTTAATCTTACAACATATTTATTAAAATTGATTCCATTTGAACTTAACAATACATCTAATATCATCGTGATAAGAGAACATTTTCTGCGAAAGATTAATCACTTCCTATGATTAAGATCTGATATTACTCACCATCCTACAGCTGCTTTATGAATAAAACCCGGTGCACAATTATAATTATTATGACTAAATAGTATTCAGTTCTATACAAAGTACCAGGTGCTTGTTTCTATCTAGATTTTCACATCAGCAGCATGGTTTACGCATAGCTATCATTGAAATCGTGTATCATTTTATTTTAATCCTATATCTTGTTTGAAAATTGTAGGTATACACAACTATCATCCTTAAGTTTGATATAAAAAGTATACATCCATCTTAATCTTATTCAGTAATGTGGGTTCTCATTTGTTTTAAAGCTCTATTTGATATAGTTTTGCAATAATTTATAGTATTGAATAGTATTGAAGTGATGTGAAATTTCTATCTTTACTTTTTGGGAGGAAGTGTGAGAAGAAGTGTGAGAGAAACAGCAAAAAAAATGACAACTTCTTTTTGGCCAATAAACTTAATTACAAATCAATTCTATCGATTTTTGGTTGAACAATAGTATAAATAGGTAGAACTGATAATGAGCATGTGTGTATATAAAAGAATTAACATAAATAAACAATGTTTATTCATATAGAGTTTAGTTAGCCAAATTGATTAGCTTATTTTAAATACTTAATAAACGTTCTTTATACTCACTGCAGTATGTTGAATGAAATTAATTAGTAAACATTTATAAACTTGAAAACTTTTTTTAAATACTTTGATTAATAAATATTCTTTATACTCACTTACTGCAGTATGTTAAACGAAATTAAATTGTAAATATTCATAAACTTAAAATAGCTTATTCTGAATAGTTAAATTATATTCATCAACTGTAGTATGTTAAATATTCATGAATGTAAATAATTTATTTTAGATAGATTAATAAATGTACAGCAGAGAATATTTAAGCTTATAATAACCAAAGTGAAATAAACAAAGACTTGAGGTACTGAATTATTCTTAAGGTCTTTTACGAGTGCCTATCTTTAAAAAAAACTGATCCCTCACTGCAAACAGACAGCAAGCAGAATGCTACATGCAAAATCGTAATATTAAAGAGCTCTTGGATCATAATGTTTAAAAATATTTCTAGCACAAAATGTTCGAGAGCTTATTCTATAATAGAATATCCTATCATTTATGTTCTTGGAAGACGTTTGCAATCGATTTATAAAAAATCACTGGACTTTCATAACGCGCCCAGAAAAAGCGATAGTCGGATTTTTTTTGCTGACTTACACATGACTTCGAAGACTGATGTCGGTAATGTTTTCATGCTTAATAATGATAAGTAAATCTTAGAACTTTGATTTTCTCGTCTGACTTTCACTTAACTTTCGTTTTGACTTTTAGTTTGACTTTTACTTTGATTTTGCTTTGATTTTTGCTTTGACATTTACTTTAACTCTGTTTCATCTTTTGCTTTAACTTTTGCTTTAACTTTTGCTTTAGCTTTTGCTTTAATTTTGCTTTGACTTTCATTTTGGCTTTGACCTTCATTTTGACTTTCGTTTTGACTTTTACTTCTACTTTGAGAGTTTTTGTTGTGTTGAATTTACAAAAATATAACTTGAACAAACATTCAGTGCATTGATTTGTGTTAATTTGGCTGGTGCATATAAAGAACTTTTAATTAAATAAGTGATTCAGATGTTGCAAATACTTACTTTATCTCATTAATTAGGTGAGTATATACTTGTTCACGTTAATTTAGCTGGTGTGTATAAAGTTTCTTTATAACTAAATATCATCACATGGCACTTCACATAATTTTGTTGATTCTACTTTTAAGTAAGCTGCATTAACTAAAATATTTATTCAATATTGAAAACTTAGTATCAACGAACTTAAAGTACGAGCGCTTTGGTCAGGAATTTGTGGATGAAAATTCAGAGATTTAGAAACAGAATAATATATTTGGATTTTTTTTATAAAAAAGACTAGTCGGTTCATTGAATCAATTCTGAATGCTGTTTATTTATTCATGTTATTTAGTATTAGAGGCATGATGGAAAGTCGTTTTGATTGGCTGATGTGGTACAACTGTAACGTTGATCGTTACATAATTATTTATATGAGTTTTAGAGTACCCTATATGAAAACGTAATCGCTCATATGACAAGTCGCCATATAGGTCACCTATGAGCGAATAACTTTCAGAATACGTTGGTATTTGACCTTACTAGCGGCTGGCCAATTTAATCAGATATAATCAGATTCCCGGGTGACTTCTACTAATGCCGTGTTTTTGCTATTAGCTTAATAGTATATAGCTAAGTAGGCTTGGGAAGTACTTTATTTTTTTTGAGTTTTTTTTTTTTAAAAAGCATTACTTCAACAGCTATTCTGTTCATAAAAACTTGTAATCAAGATGCCCTAGATGTTTACAAGAGAGATTTGAATGATCTATTAAAGGTGTAAGGCATAAGAACTATTAAAAGCATTTAATGGTATTTAAAGATTTATTTTCTGTAAAATTTTTTTTAAAACATTAACAGCAAATATACATTTGAAATTTTTAATTGAAATAATGTAGTAGTTCTAAAAAGATTTTAATGATATTTAATTGGTGAAAAATTTTAATTTAATAAGTAGGAAATTTGGTAATATTAGTTGCACTCTGCAAAAATACTTGAATACTTGAAACCTAGTAATAATGTTCTTAAATCAGAGTGAGAAAAAGTATTAGCAGCACCTTAGCAAGAATACACAATGACTTCTTGAATTCCAGTGATAATAATTTTTTATTATTATTTATTAATATAATGCTATAGTAGAAACTTTATTACAAATAGAAAAATAATTCTAAATCTAAAGATTTTTATCATATAATAATCTTAGTTTAAATGAAGATATAAAAACTATCAAGTATGAAAATAAAGCAATTGATTGGTGTGTACCAGGTTGGTGCTCTATGGTGACTTAATAGAAATTATTTCTCCAAAGATAATGTTGTAGTGTGGGTTCAAAACCAATTTATTTTCCATATAATTGAAGTTGACCAAATTAGTTTTTAATATATATTGGCCCAAACTCTAATTTAATCCATACTAGATTAATAATATGAAGTTTAAACTTTATTATTATTAATAGACAAGCTATTTATTTTTCTAACTCTAATAAAAATAGATTGAAGTGAAATAGAATTAACAAAGAGCTGAATTAAAAAAATTGAAATACAATTTATAAAAACAATAAAATATTTAATATTAAAATTTATCTATTATTTATGTTATTGTTAGTATGATTTGAATTTATTTATAATTTTTGTTTTATTACACAAATTCTATCTAGCCATTGTGGTACACAAACCTGGTATATATTTTCTAGATGCATATTTATCATCATATAATTCAATATTAATATTATTGTGTAATTATAATAACTAAGTTTTAATTCAAGATTGTTGTATAATAATATATAAAAAAATAATAATAATAAATTTATAATTACAAAGTTTGCACAATAGCTATATTTTATTTGAATAA